ACGATGCAAACTTCAACAAGAATAAACATGTGTCAAATTCAAACTCTCATCATCAAATTTGACATGAGGAACTGTCTTCTTCTTTTTTAAAGCATCTTTACTGCCACAAGTCTTCACCATCTTACCTTTATCATATTCAACTATTAACATATTGTTGCACTCGTTTACTCCTGCCACTTCTTTTACAACAAAAGAAGATTCTTTGTGGCCCTGCTCCACCTTCATATCTCCACCTACAATTGTAGTCCCAATCAGTTTATACAAGTTTTTCACTTTTTCACTCTTCATGGCCACTAAATCACCTCTCTTGACTTGCATAAAACCACCATTCGCATAATACTCACAATCCAAGGTGTCTAAAGCCCCTAAAGAAATCAAACTTCTCCTTAGTTGAGGAACATGCCTAACATTTGTCAATGTCTTTACAACTCCATCAAACATCTTCACCTTCACAGTACCTCTTCCAACAGCTTTAGCACTAGAATAATTTATCATCAACAAAGTACCGGCATCACAAGACTTATAAGAATCAAACCACTCTTTATGTGAACACATATGAAACGAGCATCCAGAATCCATAATTCAAGAGTCAGAAAAATATTCATCAACAAACATCATCTTCACTATCATACTTGTCGCCAATAACATTTGTAGAATTTGAAGTCTCTTGGGGTTCTTGCTTTCTTCTTTCTTCTAGATGCTTCGTTAGTTCTTCACAGTTTCTCCTAATATATCCCTTCTTATGACAATAATAGCACTCAATATCCTTTCTTAGGCGGGATTGGGAACGACCATCTCTCTTATCATAGTATCCCCCTCGTGACTTGCTCCTACCCCTATATGAATCTGACTTCGCCACAAAAATTTGTTCAGTATGAGACGTACTACTAGTTTTTTCATATTTACAGTGTATAATAGAGCAGTTGACACCTCATCTATAGTCAACGTCGTATTTTCAACTAAAAGTGTACTCACCAAAGTCCCATATGATTTGGGTAGGGAGGCCAACAAAATTACCGTTTTATCTTCTTCATCAATTTTGACCTCTACACTTAATAATTAAGTTATGCACTTATTAAAATTATTTATACGGTCCCTAGCATCATTTTCATCATCCATCTTTAACTCATACAATTCCTTCTTCAAATATAATCTATTTGTTAGGGATTTCGACATATAAAATTTTTCTAATTTTTTTCATAACTCAAAAGGAGATGTCTCATTCATAACATTATATTTCAGTTCAGAAGCCAAACTTAAAAGAATAGTATTTACCACTCTCGCTTCAAATTCTTCCCAATTTTCATATTTCATTTTTTCTGGCTTCTCGCCTTGTAGCGCTTTTAGTAATCCGTGCTGAATCAAAACATCTGTCATCGTACTCTGCCAGATGCTGAAATTACTCTTTCCATTAAACCGCTCAATCTGCTCAAACTTTATCTGGGACATCATCTTGGCTTTTTTTTTAATCTTCACCACAGCTCTTATACCAATTGTTGGGGAACAAAACACCTCCAAACACACGTAACAGAAAAATAAACTGAAACAAAAATAACAGAAAAATAGAAAAGACAAAGATTTAAGTGGTTCGGAAAATTTTCCTACATCCACAGAAGATGGAGAAAAATTCACTAACAGTTTCAGAATTACTCACTCAACAAACTTTCTCACTTTCTCTCTCTACCCAAAATCCCTTACACCCTTGCTTATCTCTCTCTCTTTCTCAAAAGGAGGCACTCTGTTTCTACATTTTTCTCTAAGCACACACATAAAGCCTTACACAAGATACTTATTTATAGACTCCTAATACATTATAAAATAATCATTGTCCAAAAATTAAAAACAATAACTTACTTAAAAATACAAAATAATAACTTTCTCAAAATCAATTTGAGTTGCCTACCTAACAAAAACCTACATGACCTCAATTAGTAGAAGCAAGGGAATGAATTAATGTGCCATTTCAAAAAAAAAAAAAAAAAATAAAAGATAAAAAAAAGTGAAAAGAAAAGAATAGAAAGGCCCTTTTTGTTGGAAAATTAAAGAAACTTAATTAGATTGATTTTGTTTAAATGGATATAGGTTAACCCACCCATAATCATTTCAAGTTAGGTTAAGTTAACCTAAAAGGTAGCTCAAGCTAACTAGGCATATCAATTAGAGGATTACCAATGCAATCGTAACTACTAATCATTTGCCACTTCCCGTTGCCTATAGCTTAGGCATGCATCCACTACTTCAAACGGTAATTAAACGAGAATTTCAGCTCATTAATTGGCTATAACTCTTTGTAATGGAGCAAAAAGAGCTGCACTTTATGTGCTACACGTGTTTTTCCCCTTGCACTAGAAATTTCCATTGACTTGAAGACCGAAAAGTAAATTTGAAAAGTCAATGATATATATTCAAGATATATTTATCTAAAACGAAAAAGAAATCGATGTTGGAAAAGATTAATTTCCAAAGATATTTCCATTTAGCCTGTGGAAATCAATTATCTCATTGCAAAGAAATATAAATTAAGAATCAAGTCGGTCTCTTCGGTCAATATATAGGATGTTTTATATCGATATGTGTTAAAATAGGGTTTGAGAATAAACTCCTTAATGCAAGGTTTATGACTCTATGCAAATGACTTTCACTCCATTTCCAGGTAAATTTAGGAGCTACTTCGTCATGGGATGACCCGGTAACACTTTGGTCAATGCGTTAAAGTACTCGTAATAAAACGTAGAAATTAAAGTGCACTTATATATCTTGGCTAATTATTTGTTTCTAAAGATATTAGTATACGGAAAAACTTCTACTAATTATATGTACCAATAATACTCTAAATATCCCTTTTGTGTTTTTTGTCGCTTTTATTATAAAATGTTTAAAGTATACCAAACAAATATTTCTAATAAAAAATTTATTATGATAATTTTAAGAGGATACGAAAGACAACCACTTGACGGGTCAATTATTAAAATATAAAATTAATTTGAATTAAATATTACTTGTCTATTGTTTAATTTAGAATTTAGGACATTCTCAAAAAAAAAAAAAAAAAGAAACTAGAACAATTTCGAAAAATAAAACAAAAAACGTGAAGCTCGTGGTGGTAATGGTGATAGGAAACTCGGAGGTCAAACCAAAAAATCAGGGTTTATTTGCGGAATTTATCTTTTAAGGGTGCATAAATTTAAATTTTATTTTTTATTAATACTCTTTTATTAGTGTAGTTATTTGATTAAAAAAGGTTATTAATTAAGAATAAGAGGTAGAAATTTTAAGTAATACACTTTTATAGAGTATTAATCTCTTTTTTCTAAATTCATTTATAGAGCATTCAATGAACATTCCTGTAAGCATTTTGGGGTAATCTTAACAACACTGGTATGTTAACGCTGATAGGCCCTACTTGGACTTTTGAATTTAGAAATTTTTTTTATTTTTTATGATGCACTAAATCCATTATAAATCATAAACTAGGATTTGTGGGGTTAATTAGTATATCGTGGTATTATTTTATACTGGAAAAGAAAAACTATCATATATAACACATGTTATATATCTCCAATATTGATTATCGCTCTTTATAATATTTATTGATTTATTGATATTGTATAGCCTTAGTCGAATGGTCTTAAGTACCGGTACTCTGTCTCATTTTATTATTTTTCAAGTTTAACTAATTGATGTTAATTATCTATAAATAACTTTCTATTAAAATTTTTTTGGCTAAAACTTAAAAGCAAAGATACCATCAATCAATTGATTGAAATCATTTTAGATTAAAGATGTATTATCGTATTTCCTGGTAAAGTCTCAAAACTGCAATGTGTGGCATCACGCAAACATATAATCATATATATGTTTAACAGCCCGACAATATTTATTTTCTATGATGTTATCAATTGATTTGATTTATGTGATTTTGTCGAACTAAATTTCTCACTTTAAATTCCAACTAGATTAGGACATGAGTAGTACCTTGCAAAAGGTAATTTATTTTGGCTTCTTTAATATGAGGATTCAAATCAGAATGATTTTAGTTTTGATTTTAGAATTAGAATCATGATTCATGATTTTAAGTCCAAATTATAATTCTGAAACCAGAATCAGAATTAGGGGTTTGAATCACTCAAAACCAAGAAAGGTGATTTTAGAATCATGAGTGATTCCTGATTTAAAACATCACATCAGGATTCAAACTTTAAATCAGAATCATTTAAATCAAACACTGACCCTTGATGAGTCAAATAAGAACAACTTTTTAATTTTTATAAATAAATACTGATTTGAACCAGTACCATAATTCTGAATTCAAAACTCTTATACTAAATGTGCACTTATTTATCTTCGAAACAAAAATTATGACTCAACGTCAAGAGATACGTTCAATTTTTTCTCCACTGGGGTTGGTGTTTGAAGTTTGAACTGTGCGGATTAGTGAACGGTACTTCATCTAATGTTTACCATTTCGTTGAGCAAATTACAAATACCAAATCTAAATATATATATATATATATATTTCCCAAAAAAAGTATACACATGTACGGTTTGTTCGACAAGGACTAGGATTTAGGTGGCTCATAGACAAATTAATTTGTTTATTCACAAAATAAGTGCCTGTGGCGACTTTAACAATGTGACAATTCAACAATAATAATGTTGGTCACTTAATTTATCACAAAGAAAATGCGAGGAAAGTGTGAAATTGAGTGGCCTCTCTTGTAGAACTTGGGGCATTGCCAACGCAAGCCCATGATATCATCGTGTTTTGCAATCAAGTGACCTTTAAACGACTTCCAAATTCCCCACTCTCCCCTCTCCATAAAACAATGGAAAATTCAAGGAAAATAAAGACATAACTATTATTATTATTATTATTATTATTATTTATATATATTTTTTTAATTGAAACTTTCCTGTTTCCTCTCACTATATATATATATATATATATGGTAATGGTATATACCCTCGAAACAACTTCATACTTGGCATCTTCTATTTCTTATATTAATTTCCCTCCTTAATTTTACATATATAAAATATGATGGAAGCTATCCCAGGTGACTTTATCGCGTCCCAATATCAGCCATACCAAAATCCAAGCTCTAATAATACTTCTGCTGCTGCTACTACTACTACTTTAATCCCATGCCTAACGGACCAGTGGGGTGACTTGCCGTTACGAGTTAACGACTCCGACGACATGATCGTCTACAATTCCCTCCACGACGCCGTCAGTTTCGGCTGGTCTCCGTCCGATTTAACGCCCGAAATCTCCGAAATCAAACCCGAGCCGATATACTCCTTCGACCTGGCCAATCCGACCACGGAATTAGCCGTGCCGGGGGTGTATACGGCGTCGTCTCACGCTCTGGAGATTCATAATCTCCAAAACACCCTTTTCTCCTTCCAAAGCGAGAATCGAGAGAGGGGCAAAAATGGAGATGTAACTAATCGGAGAGGTGGGACCAGAGGGAGGCATTACAGAGGGGTGAGGCAGAGGCCGTGGGGGAAGTTCGCTGCGGAGATTAGGGATCCGGCGAAGAACGGCGCCAGAGTGTGGCTCGGGACCTACGAGACGGCGGAGGAGGCGGCTCTGGCCTACGACCGAGCCGCCTTCGGGATGCGCGGCTCCAAGGCGCTGCTGAATTTCCCGCATCGGATCGGTTCCGGTGAGCCGCCGCCGGTGAGGATCACGGCCAAGCGCCGGGAGTGCTCCGACCATGCCTCTGGTGGGTCCTTCAAGAAGGTCAAGGGGAGCTTGGCGGGTAATGGTGACGTGGAGTCGGAGCAGAGATCGTTAGATGTGTTTCAGGTGGGACCCGATAGCAGTTTCCTACTACGTGGCGATGAACTATTGGTTAGTTAAAAAAGTGTAATAGGAAAGAGAAGATCGGAGTATGTTTGGCTTTGTGGACAACACCGGCTGCGGTTTTATACTTGAAGATTTTTGTTATGCGCAAGACTCAATTTAACCATATATATTAAAGTTATGTCAAATTGAGATAATATATGTGATTTAATCGAATTTGAGGATAACGGTTTAAAATTATGTTTTATTAATAGAATATTTTTATGTGTTTTTTATTCTCTTATCATGTTTTTTAAAGTTGTCATATTTATACTTCTAGATTTTAAATTTACACTCAACTACCACATTTTCTTGGTCAATAACCAATTCAATTTGACCCCAAAAAAACCCTAAACGCCTTTAAAGAAATAAAATAAAAATAACAAAAATGAAAATATCAAAATGTAAATGACATTTAAATCTTTTTTATAGTCAAACGTTCATAATTAGAAAAAAGATAAGGATTTAATATGAATCTAAAAAGTAAAAATATAGAATCATACACTTCAAAATGCATAATATTATTTATATTAAAAATAAAAAATGACCGAGTAATTTGAAAAGTGGTGTTTTAATTTAATTTAATTTTTCAGGGAATTTTTATTTTTATTTTGGTTTTCACATGAATCCACAACAAATGCGAAAGGAATAAGTTTGGTAAGAATGAGGTTGTAACTTATGTGTGTTGGTGGGAATGAGGTTGTAACTTCTGTGTTCTTTTCTTTTAATAATACTTTTATATATGATAGGTTGACAGTCATACATAGAAAGAGATGGTTTCGCGAGTTTATAACAAGAAACTAAGGCCTCGTTCGTTTCTCTGATTCGAGTTTAGAATTCAAGTTGAGATGTGATTTTATGTGAGAGCTTTTTACTGTAGTAAAAAAGTTATATGTGACTGTTTTTTAGAGCTTTTTACTGTAGCAAAACTCGAATTCTAAACTCGAATTGATAAAGTGAACGAGGCCTAATTTTCTCCATCTCTCTCTTTCTCTCCTTTGTCGCTAAAGAAAACGATGGGAAACCAGTGGATTATGACGTCTCCAAATTCCACTGAGTAACTTCATGCAATATTACGTCATTTTCTTTCTTTAATAATGCAAATGTGCACTTCCAATAGTCTCGCACGGGCTTCAACAAGCAATTTCCTGGAACTAATTCGAAAAGAAAGAAATTAATGGAATATTTTTTTCAAAGGAAAAGAAAGAAAGAAACAGGATAAGGCTGCCCCTTCATAGCTACAAAGCATTTCAATTTCTTTGAACTTTGATTTATTTATTTATTTTTAAATAGAGAAGATATTACTTGATAAATTAATAAATGAATGAGAAAAGGAAAGATAGAAGAGAAGAAAAATAAAGAATTTAACGTGGTTTGTAATATGTTTACATCCACCGATTACAATATTTTTTTCATTTATTTATTAATACCTTAGGATAAATTTGTACAATGACAGAATTAGGATTTTATTTTAAGGGCGTAAACTAAAAATGTTAAAAATGTTAAAAATCACTAATAATATTATTAACTCCTAATATTATTAACTAGTTAAAAACAAATGTATATATTGATCAGTTTATTGAATTTTTTGATATGTGAAATAAAATTTTAAAGAGAAAATACCAAGTTTTAAAGAAGGTGTTTACTACCTCAACAAAGGCAAATTAGAGAGTAGTTGTTTATGAGCAAATAGTAATTAAGAGGGTTACTTGAAAAAAAAAAGCTTAATTAGGAACATATTTAAGAAATATAATTTTAATTGGTTATTTAAATTTTTTAGTGAGGCTCACTTTTGATACAACAAAGATTATTTGAAAAATATTTTAAAAGTGACAAATTTAAAAAATAAAAGCTTTAACTAGAGTAAAGTGAAAATTTTCAATTAAGTACATTTAAAAGTATAAGATATAATAGTAAAAAACAAACAAACAATAAAAAAAAGCAAAAAGTAAAAAAACAAAAAAAAGTGGGGATTTTGGTTGAGATATTTTAAAGTTTTTTATAATAAAAGGGGGCATATATGAAAAAAATTTAAAAACAATGGGGTAAACACTAAAAACCCAAAATCCAGGCCGGCATATGCCCCCGGACCTCACCTTCCTCCGCCTCTAAATCTGTAAATGTATATAAATAGAAATTAATGATTCTCCAAAGATACTAGATGTGAAAGAGTAATAATTTCTCCCAGTTAAGCTAATGAATGTACACATCATGGAAATAATCACAAAGTAATTACAAAAATCAATGGGAGTAATCATTCACCAAATCTCAGAAATATATATATATATATATATATATATCTTATCCTTTCTGCTGACCATTGTGCTTTTTAAGTTTGATTAGAAAAAAAAAAAAAAAAAAAAAAAAAAGAAGAAAAAGATAGAAAGTTAGGAATGTATAGGATCAAAAACCGACTTTGGCGAGAAAAACAAGAGTCATGGCCAAGAAAAAGTATTTGTTTTTTCTTTTTTTTTTTACCATGAAAAAATTATTAGTTACGAGCCTAACTTTTTGGTTCCAAAAAATCAAACAAAACAAACATTTTTTAGCCTCCTTTTCAGTTATACTTTGTCTTTTTTCCTGCCGGGTGAATACTTTTTTCTTTTAAACGTTTGATCACTACAGTATTTATAATGAATACTTGGAAGTAATCTTTCAACTAACAATTCACAGAAATTTGTATTTACTTCATCCACAAATTAGGCTCGATTGGAACAAGAGGTATTGAATCAAATATATAAAAGTGCAAATAAAAGTGGCATACGGAAGTAAAAGACATCATGCACTCGGTCAAAAACGATTTCGATATTGTTTTCACATTTAACCTTCAATATATGGGACACTTATTTTTATATATATTTATATATATATACTTGTTTTTAATGGTTACGTTTTTATCAGTGATTACTATTAAATATAAAAATTTGATGACGTGACATGATAAGAATCTATTTCATTAATTGTCAATAATTATTTTAATTAATTATCTAATTTATTACAATCGTCGGATCAATATCTTACAATTAAAATAATAATAATCATTAATGAGTAAATATTCGAGTAACTACTATTTATTGATAGGTAAATATTTTTGAACTTGGGTGGGAAATTTGAATCCTACATCCCATGGTGGGAAATTTGATATTACCATTAGTATATGCATGCTACTACAACACCTACATATTAAGGAAAGTTAACATATTATGGTGTTATATTTATTATTGATTTTTATTTATTTTTAAATTAGGAAATCTCTTTATTTTAGAGATATTAGTTTTGTTGCTAGTACTTTGATCACTCTCTTTTTCTAATATGTAGATGTAGACAATGGTCGAATCACGTTAAATTTTTTCTCTCTCTTACTTTTTTATTATTTTCTTCTTTAATTTTTAGGGTGTAGTGTTAATGGTTACTCCAATATTTATTTATTAATGGGTATTATTATTTTAAACATTAAATTTTTATTTTAAACATTTTTAATGTAGACGATGGTCGAACCACGTTAAATTTTTAATTTGACGGTTGTAATAAATTCAATAGTTAATTAAAAAAAATTAATAGCAATTGATAAAAATAGTCATAAAATTTTTATATTTAGAAATAACCATCAATGAAAACATAACCATTGAAAACTCGTCCAATTTATTTAGGCCTCGTTCATTTCACTAATTTGAGTTTTTAATTTCAGTTTTGCTACAGTTAAAAGCTCTTATAAAAAGTCACATTAAACTTTTCTTCTGCAGTAAAAAATTCTCATATAAAATTATATCTCAACTCAAATTAAAAAGTAGAATCCGCAAACGAATCTAATCTATGATCTCCATGGTTAGCACTTATATTTTCTCTCCATATGCATCTGCACCTAGCCAATTTTTGTCCCTATATTGCTCTCTTGATTATTGTCGTCCATTCCTTATAACACCCATGCACCTTCGATGATTATTGTATCATCCTTGCACCCCCTACATTGTTGTGCCTCTGCACCCTACTCCGCCACCGCTTTGCACCCTGCAACCTCTATCCCACAAATATAATATCAGTTTCCTCTATTACAGTCCAAGATTGAAATCTCCTAATCTCCTATTGGAGGTATACATTGTGAGAGCATATTAAAAATATATATATATTATAGTTACTTTTATTATGATAAGTTTTTGACTTTATTTGTATTTCTTTTGAATTTAGGAAACTATTGATTTTAGGAAATTTGATTGTATAATTAGGTAACCTACCCGATAACCTAATTATAAATTATTTACATAGAACTCATTCATAATACTCTTTACTAGTGAATTCATTCTCTTTTCCTAGCCTATGATATAAGCATATTTTGTCTTCTCCTTTTTATTTTTCTTTGATTTTTGATATATGCTGAAGTGTGAAAACTATGTAAACTATAATCCTTTCAGATTCACGAATTGTTTGTTTAAGTATATATGTTTATCATATTATCAAAAAAAAAAAAAAAAGTCTCCATTTCAAAAAAAAAAAAAAAAAAAAAAAAATTTTTTAAAATATATTTTTTTTTTATTTTAAAAAAAAAAAAAAAAAAATCTCCATTTAAAAAAAAAAAAAAAAAAAAAAAAAAGATGTCGATGCTTATAAATTATATTGATATAGGTATAAAATTAACGCATCAGATAAATATATAAACAGAAATATGGGATACCAAAATTGATGGAGGACATGCAAGAGTTCAGTGATCACATTAATTTATTAATTCAACATTCTTATAAATTGGTTGCACGTAAAAACTCGGCTGAATATAATGTCCTCTGAATATTGTTTATGCTTAAGGTTGACAAATTTATTGCTATTTATTTAGCATAACAAAATTACTATTCTCAAGCTAAATTATCGCTTGAGGCTTGAGCACTAACATTTTGGCTTCTGTAGAGCTAGATTTGAATAATGAAGTACTTGGTGATCAAATATAAGTCTTTTTTTTTTGCTGAAAAATATATGTCAATTTCAAAGCAAGAAAAACTAGTTCACACAAGTTTGCTAATGAACACAAATCAATCAAGACTAGCTCTAAGGATGCTTAGAATTTTTCATCAATGAAATATCTTATCGCGTTTAGTCGTACCAAATTAATAATGTAAGGAGATAATTCTTCCCTGTGGACCCCAATTGAAATATCTACAACAACAAGAAAACCCGTTCAAATGCGTATTCAAAACAAAATCCCTAACGCTAAAGCCCTAAATAAACCAGAGATTTCAATGATCAATTTAATCCTTAGTATGGATTTTTTTTTCCTTTTTCAAGGAAACGTAGAATGGTAAACGCAGTTTTAATTTTTCTTAAAGGAAAATTGTATTTAATTAAAAATTTATAAACAGTCATCTCGGTAAAATACTAATGACCCATTAGAGAGACAAACGCACGCCTGAGGCCCGAAAACGGGAGTACACCTCGGCACACTAACAACGAGCACACATAAAGCTCAAATTGAAGAAATTTCTCCCATTGAAATAGGCTTTTGAGCGCTGGAGGAATAAATCGTCAAACCCCACAAAGAGGGAACATATACACGGCATAGAGAAAACTCTAGCCGGACCAAAACAACCCTATCATGAAACATACAAACGGCTTTAAGCCGATCACCAAAAATTAATATCAAATAGCAAAACAAATTAGGGTCGGGTGGGGAGACCACCGCCCTTATTATAAATACGAAAATTACATTAAAAAAAAAAGAAAAAAACCTCCTACCACCGTCGTTAGAATCCTCCGGTGAAGGGCAACAGGCCAATGGGTCGTCAAGGGAGATAGCTGGCTAAGAGATCTTAGCTACTAAATGACAAACTCGCCTAGAAATGAAGCCCATCCATTCGGCTTCTAAACCCTAAACTGGTTTAGATGCACCCAAACGGAGCCACCACACCGTACACCGCTACCACCAACGAGAAGGTCATGACGATCCGAGCCGGAGGACCAAGTTTTATAGCCGGGACCCCGGCGACGCGCCCGGAGGCGGCCCCGAAACTCCGGCCGTCGTTCACTCTTTTTTCTCTGGTTCGTGTGAGAAAGTGAGAGAAAAAGTCGAAAACCCTAAAAATTGGTCCATTTATTTCACAAGTTATAAACGCAGTTTTAATTGAAATATTTGAGAAGGGACCAACTAGTTAATTAAATGGGGGTGGTAGAATGTTATCTATATGTCTTTATCCCGACAGCATCATATTCGTGAGAAAAAAAGAAAAAGGTGACGTATTGATCATTATGTAAACAAAATATGTTACACATGCTTGATGAGGATTAGTGTTGATTATCTAAAATTAAGTGTTTTTTAAGATAAAATTTCAATCAACTAACATGCGTGCGGCATGATAATACAAAGCCATAGTTAATCCAAGTCTTAATTACCCCACCGACAGGAAGAAAAAGAGCCCAAGAAGTAACCTTATTGACTAGTAGTTTTGAAACGAGAAAATTAAAGAAACTATATAAAGAGATCGAGAGATGAACGGAATCTAATATCATGATGCATACTCTTGTTATAGTCAAATACAATAATTTTAATATGTAAAAAAACTGCTATATTATAATTAATAAGTAAAAGGTCTAATTCAAAGATCTACGTGGGAGATTTTGCAAGAATATATATTATTTAAAACGTAATTATTAAGTTCAAAGAATAACAAAAATTACTCTAATGGAATGTCTATACAAACTAAAAAAAAAAAAATAGACATGTTAGTAAAAGCAAAAAATTATATATACCTAAATTAATTGAAAGCTGTTGATTTTATGAATACAACCAAAATTTGTACATATATTTTGACAAACAAACCTTGTAAATATTTTACTCTCCTCCTAGATACATAAATACATAAATATCTTTACAAATATTAGATGTGATTCTGATGAGTCAATCTTATTATGGCACTCTCATCTATTTGCAGTAAAGGTATTTGATTTTCAGACTTAACTTAGTCGATTTTACAGACTTATGCATGGGAAATCAATACTGGTTTTTATTTTGTTTCTTGGTTATTTGCCTTTTACCTGTGTGATGATTATACATTTATATTCTTTGCATCACAGGTCGGAAACATCTGACAAAAAGATTATAAAAAAGTCAACTATTGTTGTAGCATTAAACTTTTGGGCTTGTAATTGCCATCTTCAAATTAGCTTGAGGCCAAACAATTATGAAGATTATTTAGCAGCTCTAAGTTGGCGTACATCGGTTATTCGGTTTTCTTTTCCCAATATATCATTTGCTGTGCTATAATTTACCTGGGTTTTCATTTTAAATCCCTTCTTCATGAGGATCACTGTTGAGTAATTTTGCATTTTGCTATAAATTTACCTCGGTTCGTAAATTCCGTTCCTTCTTTGATCATGAATACTTATTATATGATTTTTTATTGATCGATTTTTCCTTTCATGGCTTTACAACGTGTTGCTTCACTCATGCGTGTGCCTTCATTCAATCAAAGGAGGACCTCTTAGGAGGCGTTTGGTATGACATAATTTTGAGGGTGATAATAGAAATTTGTAAAATTCTCATGTTTGGTATAAAAATTAAAATTTTTTATTTCCTGAAAAAACCAATTTCATAATATTCACTTTCTCTCATTTTAAGGTAATCTCAAACCTACCCAACTTGATTTAATTCACTTTCATGGTATGTGATTACCACATAAAACACATAAAAACTTTTACAACATAAAAAAAGATCAAATTTACATGAAAAACTCATCAACTGTTCGAAGCTCCACCAAGATCCAAGGCACCGTCACCTACCCACCACCATCGCAGCCCCACCTCAACGACCTCTTGTCGACAACCTAGCCCCTATGCCGGCCTACCATCGCCGAAACCTCGACCCTTCACATCCCTGCAGTCATAACCTAACCACTTTAGGAGTCGTTATTGTTAGAGAGATTGTTATATGTCTCTCAATTACAAGATCACATAAACTTGGCGTAAAACACAAGGAAAAATAGTAAGGAAGCGCTGCAACGCATGTTTAATGCGCTGCATCGACTTTGATAGCACCATTCGGTGCTGTCAAAGTAGCTATAGGTGCCGCAGCGCCAGTTTTGGATGCTGCAGCGCATGTTTAATGCGCTACAGCGAGTTTGATATCACCATTTGGTGCTGTCAAAGCAGCTATAGGCGTTGCAGGCCAGTTTTGGAAACCGCGGCGCCAATTTTGCGCGCTGCAGCGCCCGTGCAGGGAGAACAGGCGCGCTGCAGTGCCTGTTTTGGGCGCTGCAGCACCTGTTTGAGGTGCTGCAGAGCCTGCATTACACCCCAAAGGGCTGCTCTCTGTCCAAAACTCTGTTGCAGCGAAAAATTTCACGCTACAGTGCCTTTGTCCAGGCCTCTCACATATGTTTTGCGCTGCCCAAGCGCTACAGCAGGAAAAACATCCATTGTAGCAGGTATTACTGCAAAAAAAACTATGTTTTCGTGTGTTTATGTGATCTGAAAGGTCTTGAACCATTACATCCATTGGTGATATGTTTTAACACATATCTGAACACTTATTAGCAATAGATATAACCATTGTAATAGGTGTATCAATCCATGAAAAGATACATTTACATTGAAAATGTATCTTTATGTAAAAGGTTGTAATGTTTAAAGAGGATGCATTCATTCAATGAAATGACACATCTATCTTTATTAAAATTTACAGACATGATTCATGTTCTAGAACTCAATATTGGGGGTAATTTGCCATTAAAACTCATTAGCAAACTTTAAGAAGTAAGGGCAAATAAAACCTTAAAGGAAAGTATTCCTATACACCTCAAACCCTCTCTTGTTTCTGCATTCTTTTCACCCTCTACACTCAAATTCTCCAACAATCTTTAAGGTTTTAAACTTGTTGCAATGGAGGTTGAAAAGAGCATGGCGTATTTCCCTAATCCGAATGTCCAACTTGATTGATTCGATGGTACCAGTTTCACCCACTGGAAGGGAAACTTGTTCTTCCTTCTCACCGTGCTCAAGAACACCTACGTGCTTGATCTGAAATTGGAGCCACTTCCGGAACCAAAAGGGGATGATTTCAAAGAATTGAAGGCTACAAGGAAGAAGCGTGAAGATGATGAAGTCATGTGCCGGGGTCATATTCTCAACACTCTCTCTGATAGGCTCTACGACCTCTACAACTCGATGAAGTCTCCGGTGGAGATTTGGAACTCTCTTGAATACAAATACAAAACTGAGAAGGAAGGTACGGACAAATTTCTCATCTTGAAATATCTTAAATTTGTCATTGTTGATATTAACTTCGTTCTATATCAAATACATGAATTGCAAGTCATTGTTACTAAGCTTCATGAATTGAAAATTAAAATTTCTGAATCATTCCAAGTGGGGGCAAGTATTGCTAAATTGCCTCAAAGTTGGAATGTTTATAGAAAGAAACTCCTTCATAGGAGAGATGGCATAACTTTTGAGGAATTACAAAAACACTTGAGGATCGAAGAAGAGACTAAGTATTGTGATCCCAATGACAAGATTATTGATTCCTCTAAGGTTAATGTTGCCGAAGCTAGTAAGTTTTTCAAGAACTTCAAAGTCAATAATGACAAAAAGTTTAAAAAGCCCGGTAGTGGCCAAAAGAAATTTTTTAAAAATTATTTCTTTTGTAGAAAGAAAGGCCATCGCCAAAATGACTGCAGATACAAGAAGAAAAAGGAAGAAGTTAACACCAACAAGGCCAATACTATTGAAGAGAAATCTGAAGACATTTGTGCTATGGTCTCGGAAATGTAAATTGGCATGATTACCGAAACTAACATGGCTGCAACTAAATCCTCTGAATGGTGGCTTGATTCCAGTGCCACAATCGACGTTTGTAATAACAAGAATTTGTTCTCATCATACAAAGTGGAAAAGGAATGACAAACGGTTCTCATGGAGAATAATGATGTAGCGATGGTTGCCGGGAGAAGAGTGGTGGACATCAACTTTACTTCCGGAAAGAAGTTTACTTTGAACAATGTTCTTCATGTTCCTGACATTAGGAAAAATCTTGTATCCGCTAGGCTAATGTGTAAGAATGGGCTTAAGATTGTACTTGAGAGCAATAATTATATTGTATCTAAGAATGGGATCTTTGTGGGAAAAAGAAATTCTTGTGATGGCATGTACAAACTTAGCATTAATAATAAAGATGATATGAATTTTCTTTATATTGTTGACTCTCTTGATGTTTGACATGCACGTTTAGCACACCTAAATTTTAAATCTTTGAAATATGTGTCTAAACATGATTTGATTAATTACAAAAATGTTAAAAATGATAAGTGTGAGATTTGCATACAAGCAAAGATGACTAAGAAACCCTTTCCTAGAGCTGAACAAAATACTCAAATATTGGATATGATTCATACCGATATTTGTGAGTATAATGGTATTTTAATAGTAGGAGGAAAGAGATACTTTATCACTTTCATTGATGATTATTCTAGATACACTTATGTGTATTTACTTAGAACAAAAGATGAAACCTTTGATAAATTTAAAATTTATAAGGCTGAAGTTCAGAACCAAAAACATAAGAAGATCAAAATGGTACGAAGTGATAGAGGTGGTGAGTATTGTTAGGAATGGTGTCCTAGAAGCATGAGATGTAATAGGATGTTTATTATTTATTTAATGAAAGAGTTTATTCATTATTTTATGTGCATATATTTATGAATATTTTATGAATATAAATGAAAATTCCATGATTATTTATGTGACCTTAAACGTTGTATATAAGTGTTACATACGAGAAGATAATGTTTAAGGATAATAATAAAAACGGTGTTCATAATGAATTTAATTAAAGTTTAAAATCTTAATTAAAATATTATTAATACATGTCATTCCCATTTAGAATGGAACGGTGTTATCCACACTGTTAATATGACGAGATATTAAATGCGTGTATTTCGCATAATAAGATTATGTGGAACAAGGACACAGACACAATACGAATTTCTAATAATTTCTGTTAAGTATAGAAATTCTAATTAAGTCTACCGATGGTCATTTATAAAATGATCTTAATGATGAGTTCTTAACAGACTCCTATTTATGGATTTGTGTCTTTTGATTTACTCGGTACGAATTTCGAGACCCTGAATCCTATTCCTTGTATTTTGGAGATATGATGAAGTAGGTAGCCGGGAATGTTATTATACGAGATGGAATCCATTCCTTCTTGAGATAGAAGTAGGTAAATAATTTTCTTGAGGGTTGATTCGGTACTATGGAGGATTGATCTATATGCAGTGACTATATCAAATGGACACTTCACAGTTTAGAAGTAATTTATGTCTATAATTTTGAGAGTGCAATTTCAAGTTTATAGTGGAGTAACTATTGGAATTAATAGAATTAATTAATTAATTAAAGTGTTTAATTAATTATTAATTTTATTGGAGCTCGGGATTATAGGTCCATTAGTCCACGCGTCATCCTTGTAATTCTACCAGACACAAACGACAAAATGAGAATTTTAGAATTATGAAATTCTAAAAATTAAACACTCAAAAATAATTAATTGAGAATTAATTATTATTTAAATAATGTGATTATTTAAATTTGAATTTGAACATATCTAGTTTTATCCATTTAAACTTATTTGATAAGTTGTTCAATTTAGAATTCAAATTAATTTAAGTTTGACTTAAATTGGAATTTGAATTTGAGTCAAAATTGGACTGCAGGATAAATGATGATTTTCTCTTCCTTCCCTATCTAATATTGGCGCCTACATAGGGATAAAATCCCTTATCTATGGCTGGCCAAAATGAATAAAAGAGAAGAGGAGATTTTGTTCCAAATTCAAATAGGAGATAATTAACAAGCTTTATCTTGGAGATAGAGATTGGATTCCTTTTAGAAGTTTGACTTCTACTCTATAAATAAGAGAATGATAGAAAATTGTGAGACACAATTTTTGAACAATTTTTTGACCTAATATTTTATTGTGGCCGAAATTCTCTTATTGTGGGAAGGAAAAAATTTTCTCCAAAAATTCCACATCGTACATGCGTTGGTATTTGTGGAAATTCGAGTGTTTATTCTAATCCGTTTTGTCTTAGGTGTGCCCACACACACGTCTTCGTAGATTCTAGGAATTGACATGGAAGACATTGGTTTTCTAAACACAAGGCTTTAGAGCAAGGATTGTTCGTGGTCAAAGAACTCAAGTTATCATCCTAATCGGCCGGCGGGTAATTCCTAATTGAGTTCTTATTAAATAAATTAATGTGATTAATTTATTCGTGTACAAATTAATATAATTTATAGAGTATCACAAGGGTTTTATGAAAATTTTTGTTATACGCGATCCGCTATCCCCACGCTTCTGCATCCGAATTCGATTCGGAAACCAATAAATATTTCTCAAATGAATTTGATGCCTTCTGTGAAGAGCATGGTATTATTCACCAAAGGTCAGCCCTTTTCACTCCTAAACAAAATGGATTGACTGAAAGAAATAATAGGATTTTTACCGATATGATTAACTCTATGCTTTTTAATACTAAATTGCCTAATAATTTATGGGGGGAAGCTTTACTTACTGCATGTCATGTTCACAATAGAATTACATTTATGAAAATACATGTATCTCCATATGAAGTATGGAAAAGAAGAAAACCAAACTTGATATATTTAAAGGTGTGGGGCTGTCTAGCCTTTTATAGAGTGATTGACCCTAAATCATCAAAGTTAGGTGCTAGAGGAATTAAAAGTGTTTTCGTAGGATATGTTAAAAATTCCAAGGCATATAGATTATTGAATCTAGATTCTAATGTCATTGTGGAATCAAGAGATGTTGAATTTATTGAGAACAAGTTTAGCCTTGATTTTTCCACCGAATTAGAATCTAATGTTGATCAATCATGTGTTGATATTCCCGGTACCTCTACTAGTAAAAGGAAAGAGTCTATGACATCTTTCGAACCGAGAAGAAGTCAACATGAAAGAAAAGAAAAGGACTTAGCACCAGATTTTATTTCATCTTAAGCTTTAACCTTTTTGGTTGAAGGAGATAGAAATGGTGTACTTAATAAAATACCATTGTTGCTTAATGTAGAAGAAGATCCAAAGACATTTAGTGAAACTATGTCTTCAAGGGATGCCTCCTTTTAGAGAGAGGCCGTGAATGATGAAATAGATTTAATTATGTCGAATCAAGCTTGGATCTTGGTTGATCTTCCTCCGGGATGGCTGCGAGCTGTGCGCGCGCACGCGGTCTGGCCGCGCGCCCATGTGGACTATCCGCGCGCTGGGGCGCATGCTGGGCATGCACAGGAGCGCGCTCGGGCGCGCAGGCCATGCACTGGGGCGCGCCCTTTGGGCGATTTCTAGAAAATTTTTGGGCAGTTTCTGGGCATCTTCAAAGGCTTCAAACTTGATCTTCAAGGCCTCCTTTTAATTCAAAATCAAAACCCTAATTCTACCCAAAACCTAGAATTACAATAATTCTAATCCCGAATTAAATTACAAATAATTTATCAATGAATAAATATAACCAATCCATGGAACCATATAATGAACGACCAAATCCACCATCCATACATTCATCAACATGAATTAAAATAAACATCCATAAATGCAAGTGCCTACCCATCACATACATACATGATTAAATATCACATATTTAATATATCAATTTTGATTATCAAATAATTGAAGCATAAATTAATATCGTCTATAGACCGCTCTGATACCAATTGTTGGTTACCGAATCGAATTCGGATGCGGAAGCGTGGTGCGGAGAGCGGATCAAGTATAGCAAAAATTTTCACAAAATTTTTGAGATACTCTATAAATTATATTAATTTATACACGAATAAATTAATCACATTAATTTACACATCAAGAACTCAATTAGGAAAAATACCTAGAGGCCGACTCGGATAATAACTTGAGTTCTTTGACCACGAACGATCCTTGCTCCAAAGCCTTGTGTTTAGAAAACCAAAGTCTTCCACGTCAATTCCTTGAATCTACGTAGACGTGTTTATGGGCACACTCGAGACTAAAACGGGTTTGATTAAACACTCAAATTTTCCATAAACACCAACGCATGCACGATGTGGAATTTTTTTGGGAGAAAAAATTTTCCTTCTCTCTATAATGGGAATTTCGGCCAGCCCCTTTTTAGTTAGGTTAAAAAATTGTCACCCGCAATTTTTCATCATATCTTATTTATAGAGTAGAAGTCCAACTTCTAGAAGGAATCAAATATCTCTCTCCTGTTTGAATTTTGAACAAAAATTCTCCTCTTACTTTATCCTTGTGTGGCCGGCCATGCTTACGGTTTTTACCCTGTGTGTGGCGCCAATCTCAGATAGGGAAGGAAGAGAAAAAAAAAATCATCATTTATCATGTAGTCCAATTTTAATTCAAATTCAAATTCGAATTTAAGTCAAACTTAAATTAATTTGAATTCTAAATTGAACAACTTATCAAATAAGTTTAAAAGGATAAATTTAAATTATGTTCATGATTCAAATTCAAATTTAAATAATCACATTATTTAAATAATAATTAATTCTCAATTAATTATTTTTTGAGTACTTAATTTTAGAATTATGTAATTCTAAAATTCCTATTTTGCCCTTTGTGTCTGGTAGAATTACAAGGATGACACGGGGACTAATGGACCTATAATCACGAGCTCCAATAAAATTAATAATTAAACACTTTAATTAATTAATTAATTCTATTAATTCCAATAGTTACTCCACTATAAACTTGGAATTGAACTC